GTGCCTGCTGCATTGCAAATCAGGAATAAATGGAGCAGGCACAAACCAATGTTTCTCAAAATCTTTCTATAGGAAAGAGGATGATTCTTGGAATCTGAGTTTCTAAAACAAATTCAAAGCCATCAGCTTAACAATGTAAATGACTTTAAGACCATCAAATAAATAGAAACAGCAGTGACTGTTGACTTGATGAAGCTCTTTGTGTGCTAGGTATTGTGCTAGATATTTGATGTACACTGTCTCACTGGATCCGTCTAGTGATCCCATAAAAAGAACTCAGCCATTACTCTCAATTTACAAGTGAGAAAACAAGAGGCTCACAGGACAATCACCTTATCCAAGATCATCTGAGCAAGAAGTAGGACACTCTAAGCTGTACCACCTTGTTTCTGTGTGAGTGGAATTTCATTTACAAGCTTGCCTGAGCCCCTATTCAAAACTGTCACTGTTATTATCTATTGTCTTTCCCTACTCCTTCCTGATCATTCTACCACCATAAGTGACACTGCACACAAAGCATTGTTTGTGAAGCCTGAGAGGAAAATCTTCATTTACAAATAAGAGAAACACTATCTACCAGATACGACCTGGCACCTGCTACCATATATGGCACAGAAGGGGACTGCACAAATGTCTCTTGAACTAAATTGAGATCAGCTGAATGAAAGGAAATAGTCAGTGTGTAATCTGGCCATGTTTTGGGATTTCCTAGCTGCCAACTAACATGATCATTCTCTCCAAGAAGAAGTTAGGTCTATGCCAACACCCTTGGCTATCCTGCTAACTTGCCACTAGCCTCAAATTGCTTAAATGAGAGAAAGATTATCAAAAGGCAGAAGAGAGAATGATGATCAGCTATAAACATGTCACTCGCAAAGGGAAGTGGACTCTCTATAGTGACAAGGTTATCATTTAATACATGTCCATGACATCCCATTTGAGCTTGAAGACTAGAAGTAGGTCTTTTTCTCAAAATAACCTTTTTTCCAATGAGAATAGTAGATTATAATTTATATTTTTTGTGCAACAAATTTGAGTGTCATAAAAATGGTTAAAAAGTCTTCCTATGGTAGCTTTTTCTAAACTTTTATGAACATCTGCCACATTCATTTGAAGTTTAAAAAATTCTGGCACATATGCAAAGGCATAATAAGGTGCCTATAGCTTTCAAGAAAAAATAAGACAGTCAAAAATAAGCCTTTTGCTGAATTGCCAGTAGAAAAACTAGTGTAGTGAGAGGAGATGGGCCTCCCCAACTCCTTCCTTAAAGAAGTCTCTTTGGCCCCAGGTTTGTGCTTCTTCCCCAGGGTTATAGCTCATGTTCCTGTGGGAAGCCTTAAGAGAAGCGACTCTAAACCTGAAAGGCATGACACAGCCAGACCAATCCAACTGGTAAACACAATAGAAGCCTCTTAAGTCTGAGCTCAAATCCAGGCAAAGAGAACAGGAGAGAACCTTCTAAAATTTAATAGCATGTGGACTGTCTGGTGCATGTAGAAATGCTTTGTTCAGAAGGCTGGCTCAAGGGCGGGGCAACTACTATTTTTGTTTTCCTTTTGGTGCTAGTCACAAACGAGCACAGCAGAGTAAACTCAGTCAATCAATTAGGCCAAAATTTATCTTGGCTAGTGCTTCCTGACCCTCATCAATGAAAGCCCTTCAAAGGTGGACAAACAGACAGACTTGTACCTGTATTCCTAAGTGCAAAACAGTTTCAAGTTTTAGCTTCAAAAAAATATATATATATATTACTTTGTACTGTATGTTTTTCCACAAAAGGCCTTGCATTACATTGCTTATAACAATGAAAAAACTTGCCTCCCTTGTCTATGCAAATTTACGACATTTGGTTACCTGGGAGAAGTGAGGCCAGTAGGAGAGCTTCTAAATGTGCTCTGAGTGACAGCTTCCCATGCACTCACTGCACCCTTCTCAGAAAGCTGTGGCTCAGCAATACTGCTTGCTTGGTTGGCATCTGCTAAGAGTGCTGAGGCCACCACAGTGACTCCTGCTCCAGGGGATGATGAAGAGGGTCAGGGAGGCAAACGGCCATAATTCAGAGCAAGAAATTCTATATGTAAAAGAAGACCAAGGAAGCTTCTTGAAGTGTCAGAGAAGGGAAGAGCTTATCCAAGCAGACTGGCAATGCAGATCTATTCAGCCCAAGCACTGGTAACAAGCATTTCTGCAGTGATGAGGCCGAAGGCTGGGCTGCAGTGGAGAACCCATGTGGAACTTGAGGGCAGTTCACAGCAAGCATGGAAGGTGGCCTTCTACTCCATGTGGACACTGCAGACTAATCCTGCATTCATCTTTAAACCTACAGAGTAAATGCTTGGAATAGAGGGGCATTATGAGGTTATCTAATGAATGAACAAGGTTTTGCAAAGAGAAATCTAATGAAGAAGAAGTGTCAATGAGGACAGTGAGGAAAAGGGTAAGAGACACTTCAGGCACCTAGAAAGTATTTAGAGAGAATGGGTGAGGAAGAGGAGCGCTCAGCTATGCTCAGTGGGCCCCACTTTGGTGCTATTCATAGGGACTAGGGCAAGGAGTGAAGTTGCTCAGTGCTTTATGTGTATTTACACAGCTAATAAATTGCTGGGAAAAGATATACATCAAGGTGAATTTCAATTGGTTCTAGGACCAATATTCAGAGTGGGGCAGAGCACCATCAGAATCACAGTTGAGAGTCATGGACTCTGAAACATAAGCCTTAAACAAGAGGCCTGGAGGGCAGAGAGAAGACCAGTACTTTAAGGCTAGACATTTGTGAGAGTGCTGAAGGTACTGGGACACACAATGCGTCTGAAAAAGCCTGTCCTAGAGCAGCCTGGAAGGCAGGAGAAAAGGCAGGAGGGAATTGTGGACTACGATAGATCAAATAATATTCAGATGAGTGTTTCTAACTTGACAGCAACTGGCACAAAAGGTCCATTAGAAAAGCACTCTGTGTGTGTGTATGTCAGAGAGAGAGAGAGAGAGAGACAGAGACAGAGACAGAGACAGAGACAGAGAGAGAGAGAGAGAATATCGTAGCACTTGAACTTAGGGCCTAGGTAATGTCCCTGAGCTTTTCCTTGATCAAGGCTCATACTCCACCACTTGGGCCACAGTTCTGCTTCTGGCCTTTTTGGTGGCTAACTGGAGTCTCATGGACTTTCTGCCCAGGCTGATCTCTATTTGATCTGATCCTCTGATCTCAGCCTCCTGAGTAGCTAAGATTAAAGGTGTGGCCCACTGCTTAGAAAGCATTTATTTTTTAGTTTTTTAGATACATCCTCCAAAATATGTAGTCTATAAACTGGGTATTCTATATGCTTTGGGTTAGGTATGGTCCATAAAATAAGTACTGTAGGTGTTTTGAGCTGTGTATAGATCATAAAGTGAATACTGTGTTTTGGACTGGGTGTAGTACACAAATTGAGTACTGTATGTGCTCAGGACTGGGTGCAGTGCATAAACTGGGTACAGTGCATAAACTGGGTACTGTGTGTGCTTTGGGCTGAGTGCAGTCCATAAACTGGGTACTGTGTGAGTGTCAGGCTGAGTGCAGTCCATAAACTAGGTACTGTGTGTGCTTTGGGCTGAGTGCAGTCCATAAACTGGGTACTGTGTGTGCTTCGGGCTGAGTGCAGTCTGTAGACTGGGTACTGTGTGTGCTTCAGGCTGGGTGTAGTCCATAAACTGAGTACTGTATGTGCTTTGTGCTGGGTGTAGTCCATCAACGGAGTACTGTATGTGCTCAGGGCTGGGTGATGACAGGGAGGGACTGCTAACAGAATGGAGAAGCCACATGGCCATCCTGTCAAATTAGAAATTTGAGCAGATTTCTGTGGTCTATTTTGATCAAGATTCTCAATGTCAAACAAACAGGTTTTTCGATAACCAACTTGTTTCATTTTCGTAAGCACAATAGCACAGTGTGCAACAGTTAGTGGAGAAGCAGGTGGTCCTCGTCGACGTGAAATGAGGGGAACAGAAGAAGAGAAGTAGCACTTCCTTTAAGGCATACAAAGTACCACCACAGGCCGCCATAGCTGTAGCTTTTCTCTAAGAGCTCATCTCCTGTACCACTCAGCCAACCAGCCCCATCCCATTCTGCTCTTGTACAAAGGTCTACCTTGGGGTTCATGTCTACAAACTAAGTACCCTTGCAGAAAAGTCCTTTAAAATAACTGTTATCTAATTGGTACAGCCACACAGAAAGCAATCTGGCATCTGATTCCTAGCTTTGACCAAGCATTTCTACTTTAGGGATTCTATGCTAAGGAAATAAGTCAAAATGCAGATAAAGCCTTATGCATAAAGATGTTCACTAAAATGCTATTTATAACAGTGGAAAAAGTGATAAACAACCTAAGTGTCCAACAGTAGAAAATTGGTTAAGTTGTGGTATATCCAAATAATAGAAATGACAGGTAGCAAATTGTAAATGACTGAGAGTAGATAAAAACATGTAGAAATGCCATAATGTAAAGTGAAATAGACATAAAATTATATATCCCAGATCAATTATGCACATTTATAAAAATACATATTCACAGAATAAAAATGAGAATAGTAAAATGCTAACAGCAGCTCAATCTGGAATAATGCACTGTGGATAGTTTTAATTTATTTCTTCATATTTCTATATCACATTTCCTACAATGAAAATGTAATACCATTACAGTGATTTAGAATAAACATCATTATGAAAATGAATCACTTCCTTGTTCAAACTCTCATAGAACCTTCTCTTCCTGTCTCTCTGTCCCTAACTCATTCACCCTGGAAAATCCACCATCCCCAAGAAAAAGTGAAAGAGCCCTGAACACTAAGGCCAGAGAGAAGGATCTAAGTCAAATGCTCAGCTCTGTGTATCTGGGAAGGCAATGTACATGAGCTGTTGCTTCAACCTCCCTCTGGGTTGTGCATCCTGAGAATGCATTTTTCTACTTCATAAAGCAAAAGAAAACCCCATGTCAGGCAGTAGAAGGGAAAAGAAGCCAACTTACCTCCATTAAACTTAAATGGATTCCTATGAGGTAGGGCATGGGAGCACTGTGAAGAGAAACAGAGACACACAGCTGCTTTAATGTCTGTTGCTTCCGACGGAAAATTACAGATGGTTCACTATTTGGAGAGAAACTGTTTTAATAAACGTATGCACAGTTACATTTCCTTTCACAACAAAAATCCTAATATGACATTTTGTTCCCAAGCCTAGAAACTTCAGAAGAATTTCAAAATTCAGGCAGCACTGGAAACACTATGGATAACAGGAAGAGCATCAACTTCAATGTCAGTTCTCAAATAGCAGTGAGGCAACAGCACATCCTCAGTCACTTTATCTTTGAAATGGTATACCAGGCTTGACCTGGCATGCTGTTATTAGAATGAGGAAAGGAAAAAAAAATGAGGCCAGGCTCTGATGGCTCACGCTTGTCATCCTAGCTACTCAGGAGACTGAGATCTGAGGATCAGGGTTCAAAGGCAGCCCAGGCAGGAAAGTCCAGGAGACTCTTATCTCCAATAAACCACTCAGAAAACCGGAAGTAGTGCTATGGCTCATGTGGTAGAGAGCTAGCTTTGAGCTGAAGAGCTCAGGGACAGTGCCCAGGCCCAGAGTTTAAGCCCCATGACAAAAAAAAAAAAAAAAGAGCTGGGCACCAGTGGCTCAGACCTGCAATCTTAGCTACTCAGGAAGATTGCTGTTTGAAGCCAGCATGGGCAGGAAAGTTTGTGAGACTTTTGTTTTTGGTCATGGGGCTTGAACTCTGGGCCTGGGCACTATCCCTGAGCTCTTCAGCCCAAGGCTAGTGCTCTACCACTTTTGCCACAGTGCCACTTCCGGTTTTCTAGTGGTTTATTGGAGATAAGATTCTCGTGGACTTTTCTGTCTGGGCTGGCTTTGAACCCTGATCCTCAGATTTCAGCCTCCTGAGTAGCTAGGATTACAGGCGTGAGCCACCGGCACCCAGCTTGTGAGACTCTTATTTCCAATAAACTACCAAAAAGCCTGATATGGAGCCATGGCTCAAATAGTAGAATGCTAGTCTTGAGCAAAAGAAGCTCAAGGACAGTGCCAGGCCGAGTTCAAGCTCCAGTACTGGCACAAAAACAACAGTAAAGAATGAGACAAAATGTACTTCAAGTGACTAGTAGAGTTCCTGATACAAATGGGAACTGTGATTGCTAAAATTATAATGGAAATAAGTTGCAGTCCCATGATGGGCTTATTAGGTTTCAAAGAATAATTTTTTTTATTTGCTGGGCACAGTAGCTCAGGCCTGTCATTCTAGCTACGAGGGACGAGGGGATCAGGGAATCATGGTTTGAGGCCAGCTCAAGGAAAAGAAAAGATCATGAGACTCCATCTCAACCCATTGGATGAGAGTGACAGTATGTACTTGTTAGCTCAGTTACTGGGAAAGAACAATGGCTGGGCACAGTGGTGTATGCCTGTCATCTCCAAGGACTTGGAGAACCACAAGCAAGAGGATCGAAGGCCAGGCTGACCTGGACATAAAATGAAATTGGCAAAAATAGTCAAGGCAAAAGGAAGCTGGAGGTGTGGCTCAACTGGTAGTCCACTTACCTAGTAAATTGGAGGCCCTGTGTTCAATCCTCATTATTGCCAACACAAAAAGAGATGCACCTAGCTGTCCATTCTGGCTAAACAAAGTATTTGGAAAGCTGCTGGCAAACTACTCCACCCAAGTGGCAAACATGCCATTCAGTAACATTATAGTTCTTGAAACAATTGTTTCTCTCACAGAGCATCAAGTGCCCCATATCAGTCATTGAGCAAGAGGATAAGAACCTCACTGCAAAGTTTTTTTTACCTGAGTATGCTGGAGTGACCAGTTCTTCCCCTTTGTTTTCAGGGGTCTGAAATAGGGTACATATAACTATTATTATACAACTATGAATAATGCTCCCTACTAATGGAAAGTGTGTTAGTGATACATCAACACTCCCCCTCAGCCCGTTTGTGAGGCCTGAACTCTGGGCCTGGACACTGTCTCTCAGCTCTTCAGCGCTCTACCGCAGCTCCACTTCTGGTTTTCTAGTGGTTTATTGGAGATTAAGAGTTGCACTGGACTTTCCTGTCCAGGCTGGCTTTGAACCGTGATCCTCAGACCTCAGCCTCCTGAGTAGATAGGATTATAGGCGTGAGCCACAGGTACCTAACTATATCTACTCTTGAATTCACCTTTTCTAATCCACATAATCCTCCTATTTTACAAAGGAGGAAATAGACTTGAGTTTAAGTCATTTGTCTAAATCAAATGCCACAAAACCAAGTAATATCCTTGGGCTTTGAGCCCAAAGGGTGCACATTCCTTCCTTCAGGCCACACTGGCCCTAGACTATGAAGCCTACACTGCCCAGGCTCACTACCCACATCATTGCTTTCTTGAAGCAAGGAATGATTGGTGACTTTTCCAAGTGTTATAGCTTATACACGTGTTTATCTTATAAATTGTGCAGGGGTATTTTTTTTTTAGGACATTAGATAAAAGACCCTGGGCTCATAATTGGAGGATCCTCAGTGGCAGCTAGGAGAGTCAAAGTGGGCAGGCAAGGATAGTTCCTTAGAAAGAGTTTGAGGAACAAGGAAAGGTAAATAAGGAGGTAAGGAGAGGTTTTTTTATTCAATAGAATATGAAGGAGTTTAGGGACTTGTTTGTTTGGTTTTGTTTGTTTGTTTATTTTGTTTAGGAGTGTAAGTTTTATCCAGAAAGCAATGGTGAAGCAACAAAGCTTTTTAAACATCAGATGTACATTTGAAAATTGTTCAAACACTTAAAAATAGAAAGGGCACAATTCCCTCATTACTATTCAACAAATAAAATTCTTCAAGCAAAAACGATTCCCCAGAATATAAACTGTCTTAATACATATCTCAGCAGTCATGTATTTTGAAAGCCTGAAAAATAACTTGAATATTAGCAGCAATGTTTGAGGACTTTTCTTCTAGAAGACTTCTTTCTGCATTTGTTAATAGACAAAGAAAGAACTATATGTACAACTATAGTGAAAGTAGAGCTGTGCTTTTCTTTCACAAATTCTCTCCTTTTGTTTTGCCTTTATTTTTTTTTTAAGGGTGTCTGCCCAGCACATTCTCTTTGCTTCTAGGAGCAGGGAAATGCCCTGTGATATTTTTTTCCCCTTAAACTGTAAGCCATTAGCTTAGCTGCCAGCCACACAAAACCTCCAACTTCCCAGTGTGCCTGGCTCTGTTGTCCAAGTTTTTTTTCCCTTCTTCTTCAGTATATGCTGAAATGAATGTGTTTCTAATTAAGTAGCTTCAGGAACATGACAGCTTCAATGTCAAAAATACAAAGTCTAAACCCCAGCAGGAAGTCCTAAGACTGCAAATGTCTCATTGAGTGGAACCTTGCCTAATGTAATGAAAGGAGGCAGGAAGAGCACAGAATTCCAGAAAAATGGCCACTTAATGTATCCAGAAGCACAGCTAAACAGAGAATGGAAAGCTCAGATCTGTAACATTTAGCTAAACCTCAGCAGCTAGACCCCTCTTCCATGTAAGCATGCAACTTATCAGTCACCATGAGTTTCAACTAGAATTTCAGAGCTGAAATCCCAACAAACAAGTTGACATGCAGAAAAAGACATTCAAATAACTGTGAGATAAAGGTGAATACTACCTACAGCCTAAGCCCTCTGAATTTAACCATAGGCTATTACTTGGAAAAGAAATATTTTCTAGAATTTTAAATAGGCAGGTTTTAATGAAATGCTCTTTTATCTGCAATAAAAATCAACGATACCCCAAGTAGAGATTAAGCCTCATAGAAGAGGGTACGGATGGAAAAAGGGACAAAGTGGGATAGTTCTTCAGGCATCTTTAGCATTTTTAAAACCCAATAACTTCCCCAAGAGCAATTATCGTTATCACAGAAATATAGTTTCTTAGTCAACTATTGTTAGGACTACAACAGCTCTGTATTTAGAAAATATCTGAAACACATTCATTTGAAAATCATGTTTTGTATGAATGCAAGTTTGGAGAGATACCTTTCCCTGTTGTTACCATTTGCTTACAAAGCCTCAAATACTTCCAAGAATCTATGGCAATGTTACCCTGAAAATATCTAATTACAAATCCTCGGTATGGGGAGGGACTGGAAAGAAAAAGAAGCTCAGAGATTCCTTAACACCTCAGTGTGCCAAGTATGTACCTTGGTAATTCTTAGGTATGTCCTGATAACAATTCCTATTGTTAATATGCCAGAATAATTACTGAAGATTCATTATCTTGGAAAGCTCTTTTGCTCAATCAAGGCTAGCACTCTATCACTTGAGACACACACTGCTTCCTGTTTTTTGGTGGTTAACTGGAGCTGAGTCTCCCAGAATTTTCAGCCTGGGCTGGCTGCAAATCAGTATCCTCAGATCTTAGCCTCCTGCATAGCTAGAATGACAGACCAGTGCCCAGCTAGAAAAGGCAGTTTTGGAAAAAGATATCTACTAATGATTATATCATCTCAATTTTGCCTTATAAACTTTTCTAATATCAGCCAACATAAATTGTTTTATATCTTTGAAATTAATTGCATATATTTAATTGTTTTCTCATTGTCTACATCAACTCTTTCCATATTATACTACAAGTTTTGTAATTGTTAAGGACCATATAACATGCAATCAAATTAATCCTATCTCTATAGTTAGACAATAAGTCACTTCTTTTCATTAATGCAATACTGAATTGAAAATGAACAACTTCAGATGCATGAACTCCCAGACATTGAGTTAGTAAGTCAGAGGGGTTAGGCTTGTTTTTGTTTTGCTTAATATCTTGTTATATCCTTACCAACTATCTCTAAAAGGACAATGTGCAAGGACAAGAGACAGTCAAGATGTGCCTAGCACAGGGACAACATCTGGTAGACACTCAGTAAGCAACTGTCAAGTCCAGAGGGGTTCTCTCCAAGCCCAGTGTGGCTGGCACCATTGCTCCCATTCTACTCTCATTCAGAGAATGGCTTCTTGTTTATTCTTCATTCTGAAGACATCTGGTAAACTGATGA